TTTCTGAGCTTGAAAAGGTGAGCCCAGGCCACTTGTTGAAGAACTGCAACAAACCCCTGTTTGATACCCAACTCTGCGTTTCTGAAGCGTTCGGACTCCCAAAGCCCGGTTTGTGAACTAAGCAAGGGTTTGGGCTGCCCCACTGTGAGCTTGATCACTTCAATTCAGCTCACAAGGAAGCATGGATTTTTTGCATGCCAGCTTGTGAAGAAAGTCCCTGGTGTATATGTACCAAGTAAGCTGATAGTCACTTCCGATTTGGCTTGCTTCATTTTCCTTGCCAATACAGGCTGTATAGGGTTGCTAAGGGTAACATCGAGCCGGAGCCGGACGATGGCAACTAAATCAAAGAATAAACACAAACTAGAAAAAATTACTGTTTTAACCACCAGCACTGGCGCGGAGCGGCCCTTAAAAAAGAAAAAACAATGTCGGCGCCGAGCGGCGCAGGGCCGGTGATCAAATACATGTATATATATATATATGTATATATTCATGCGATTCATGTATCATATCGTATATATTATACGTAGTATTATGGTCTCTGATCAGAAGGCAGCGCCGGCATGAGAACCACACATACATACATCTTGTATACGTACTATGCGCATATATATGTATACACATCTAAGTATCAGAAGGCAGCGCCGCTCGGCGCCGTGATAAAACCTTAATGACGGCGCCGAGCGGCGCTGACATGAAAACCACACATACATACATCTTGCATACGTACTATACACATATGTATACGCATCTAAGAATGGTATTTGATGAGAAGGCAGCGGCGCTCGGCGCCGTGATAAAACCTTAATGACCGCGCCGAGCGGCGCTGTAGCCGCTCGGCGCCGACATTAAGGTTATCATGACAGCGCCGAGCGGCGCTGGAATGAAAACCACAAATACATACATCTTGTAACCGTAGTATATACATATATGTATATGCATCTAAGAAGGGTATTTGATCAGAAGGCAGCGCCGCTCGGAGCCGTCATTAAGGCTTTATCACGGCGCCGAGCGGCGCTGGAATCAAAACCACACAGACATATATCTTGTATATGTACTACGCACATATATGCTTACACATCTAAAGTATGATGGTTTCTGATCAGAAGGCAGCGCCGCTCGGCGCCGTGATAATACCTTGATGACCGCGCCGAGCGGCGCTGGAATGAACGCCACACAGATACAGCGCCGCTCGGCGCCGACATTGGATTATCATGCCGGCGCCGAGCGGCGCCGGCATCCAAGAAAAGAGAAGAGCCGCACATTATATATATATACATATGGTTGCTTTCCAAAATGTCTCTGCTACTGTCTCTGCTTGACTTTTTCTCTGCTTGCTTATCCTGTTATGAAAAAATCGAGCGCCAACCCAGCGCTGCCTTGCTGTATCACCATAGTCTGCTGGGGGCCCGCTTCTCAACGAAGACTTAAAAACATGTCTCCAACCTTAAATTAAAGGTTTACGTTGATCTATATTTCTTGAGTAGGGCTTTTGAGCGCAGTCCATATATGTATGGTATCTGGTCAAAAGACTGGATGCAGTGCCGCTCGGCGCCGTCATCTCCTCATCCTCCATATGCTCAAAGGATTCCCCAAAAATGGCCTCTATGCTCCTGTAGCGCTGCTGTACCTGGACCGTCTGAGACGAACTCTCACCCCATCTCAGATTGGGAATGGCCAAATGATAGACCCTCGCGCTAAGGAAGCAAAAGAAAGGAACACTTATGCGACACGCTAAGATGCGGGAAGCACATGGAAGCGCTGACGGGATCGCTACGAGAAGTTTGGGAGATCGCGGCTCTGTCATTGTCCGAGAAGCTGCAACAGGATCCCGTCCCATTGTACTATGAACAAAAACCGAAACCCATTGGTTGTGGGGAACAGGGATTCTTGGAAGGTATGTTGCAGATTCACATGGAACAGGTACACATGGAAGCTTTAGACATCTAGAACCAGTCCTACCGATACCAGCAAAAAACTCCTACCGATACCAGCAAAAAACTCTACGATCTGGGAGGTGTTTGGCCAGTTGGCTTGGTCACCAATGTCGATCCATGTCGATCACCGGGCACCGCGTCAGTCACGCCGAGAGGCACGTTTCCGAAGACGAACCACAAGGCGATGTTGAGGTCCTTTGCACTGGCGCCCTCGGTAGAAAGAGGATGGTGGTGTTCAAGGTGCGGAACACGGGGAGCAGAAGGGCGGTGCTCATGGTGCGACACTGGGTGAGAGCTCACAAGGTGGAGCTGACATGACAAGACTCCTGCTTTGACCAATACGTTGGTTGTGAGACTCTGCGCAATTTTGCAGGTCTCTTGGTCTATCTGAGTTTATCTATAGGTCATGAGGTATTGACTTGAAGACCAAAGTGGCAAAGGAAACAAAAGCGAATTATCAATTGGGTGTTTCAGGATTGGGACGAAGAACTCCAGCAATTCTACTATGGTGGAGACCAAGGGCCTCAAGCACGCTCCGCATCGTTCCAAAAATCTCTGGGAACGTGTCCAACGCCTCCGTCTGACAGCACTTTCTTGAAGATGGTTCTTTGCTCAACTTCAGTAATAATCCCGAGTACCTATTGAAAAACGGACCCCTATTAAGAAAAGTCATGCCGGATCCACTAAATTCGGTTTATATTTGGTTTTAAATTACCACAGCGACATCACCTTTCGAAAGCTTTAGCTGTTAGTCTACTGAAGAATCACTATTCTAATGAAGGTTTTTGTAGGGGAAAAGGAAGACCCTTTCGATCTGGAGCTTTTTTGCATTTTTGATACGAGTTTAATAAAGGATTTTATATAAAAGTTTTACGGATTTACCTTTTGGTTTTGAAGCTCTTCCCAGGTGACCCTATTTTGGGCCCCCCGATTTCAGGGACCCCCTATTAAAAAAATGCGACCGAGGTTTCCTTATTAGGGGGGGGGGGGCCCTTCGTGTTTTTTATTAGGTGGACCGGATTATTGCTTTTGGGGGGCACAGAGGTCGTCATCCGTTTCTTTGCATCTCAAGTTCACCGTGAGAACCACGGGCCGTGCCTGCCCGTGTGGCCTCAACGGAGCCCCACTTCTGACGGGCTCGGTCCGCCTTGCCGGGCGCAAAACCGACCGACCAGAGGGGCCGGCCGTAGCACCCCGTAGCACCCCGTAGATTCCTCGTCGCTCACGGCACGCACACGGCGGCCGGGTGGCCGGGCCAGGTCTTCCAAGAGCATCCAAGGGCCCACGCTGCCGAGCACGGACATGAGCTCATTGATCGATGCCTTGCGCCGGTCGCGTGGCGCGCGTGACGTGTCGCGCCAACCGACCCCCGCGGTTCCGGAGAGGGTGGCGACCGCTAGCCGCGCGCGACAGCCGGTCGAGGGGTCCAGTTTGGGTGCACAAAAGGGCGGTGAATTGCCAAGTGGACCAAACATCAACAGACTATACAGAAATATAGAGAACAAACATAAACTAAATATACGCGTATATAAAACATTCGTTATGAAATTGTTTAAAAATGTATCCTGCTCATCTCAAGTAAGCTTTCTTTTTGCACCAAACCTCCTGGCGACGACGATGGCCCGCCCTCTGGCAGCCGCGTCGGGCGGTCTCCGTCCGGTCACCACCGAGGAGTGCCTTGCTCTGTGGATCTCCTCGGTCTCTCACATTGTCCTTGGCCACGGATGACCAGCGCCAGATAGGAACCGAAATGGTTGGATGGGAACCGTGGCCCCGCGGCCACTCCGTCCAGCAAACAAGGACAGCATGCGGACGGCAGGAACCAAATGGTAACTGATGTGTATATAGGGCATCCCGCGACTCCAATTGGTAATGAAACAACTGACATGGATGTGGGATTGGATCATCGCTGATGTGTCCCGGGCGAGCGCAAAGGTTTGGTTGACTGAGAGGTGTTCGCTTGTATGTGGCGCTTGTATTGGCCATTGGAGCAGATACGCTATGGTACCGTGGCCATCGGCCGTTGTGGACTAACGCAATCAAAGCACACCATGAAATATCAGTGATAGTTGATCGTAGTGTTTGAGTGGGTGTAGTGTGAACCACAATTGCAACCACATGCAACCTTGATTTGCGAGGTCCATGACTATGTTTATGACATTTCATGACTATGCTCATTCAGCCATTCAGCATGAGACTCCCTTGGAAAGAGAGGGGCAGTCAATCTGGCTCAATGCATCCCAGGAGCCCCAGGACATGATGTAGTATATTCTAGATTTCAACTTGAGAAGAGGGATACACGAAAGGTAGGACAGCGGGAGGAAAATAAGCGTGTAAAATATGCAGTGTGTTGTTGGTGGAGTCGAATCAAACGTCAACTTGAGAATGGGGGAACAGACAAAAGTTCGATATATACATAACATATATACAGTTGTATGATAGTCCTCAACGACAAGGAGAACCAAAAACAACATATCATGTCTCTGCATGGATTCAAAAACTGCCCCAAGCTTTGAGTGCTCAACACCAAATAGCCATCGAGGTGTCGAGGTGATCCACTTCTGGATGAAGCGGTCAGAGGGACACCAAATAAGAGGTGTCGAGGTGATCCACTTCGGGATGCGGTCAGAGGGACGCCAAATAAGAGGCGTCGAGGTGATTCACTTCGGGATGAAGCGGTCAGAGGGGGGGAGGGGGGTGGGTCTGAATTGAAAATCAAATCTAGGGGGAGGGGGTCTGTATTAAAAAATCAATTCCAAGGGGGGGGGAGGGAGGGGTTGAATTGAACTATCAATTATTAGATCCGGAGGAGCCCACACTTGCTTCGCAAGACAAACTCAAGGTATCCCCTGAAGGGCTACCCTTCGTGATCAGTGGCAGTGTGTTTTTGAATATCTATCATCGTAAAATATCAGAAAAAAAAATATATATATATATCAGCACTACATCGGCACCTTCCCGACCCCATCGCCACCTGAGTCCTCTTGTCCCTCTTCCGGTCTCCCCAGCTGGTCGGTGGCAGCTCAATTGCCGTCGCCCAAGCGTCAAAGATCACTTGATGCTCGGAGGGCTCCACCACATGGATCCGGCCTGAGAGTCTGAGGACTCCATATATGAGGCCTTTCCGTGGTGACCGGGACCCCGCTCCAGCGGCTTCAGAAAAGGAAAGACACGGTCGTAAGTTGCACTGTTTTTCACAAGTTGGAGACCATGGTGGTCCGTACATGGCATCCGTCTTTGTTTGTAGATCTTGTGTTCCACCAAACCATGCTGGGTGGTGTTTTACAGGGTATGAATCCTGGAAGTTCCACAGGCTGTCTTGTCTGAAACTCTGGGGGTTATTTTGGTATGCTGTTTATAAGTGCATGGGGCCAGAAAACGACTGGATGGCCACAACTGGAACTTGAACAAAAATATACGACCAGTCGCGTCCTCTTCTTCTCGGCTGGGATTGATTGGCACGCTCCTTGAAACTATGGCACCACCTGTTTGTAGAGGATGTCATGGTCATCCTTTCAGGGCAATAACAAAGCCACCGAAATAGCACTAAGAAGCCACCACGCCAGGAGCACGGTCCAGGCCGCCGTGGCGCACGGGCGGGCCCTGCGGTGAGCCGCA